TGCTGCTGATCAGTTTCATGTTGCTGCTGATCAGTTTCATGTTGCTGTGTTCATTCATACTCATCTGCTCACACAGACTCATGTTCGTGCTGCTGCTCGGCGTAGTTTTTATGCTACTAGTGCTTAGTGTATTTTTAGTTGATGTTTTTCTTAGTTCATATCTTAGATCTTATTACTGTTTTTCTTTTACATTTTATACTTTTGTTGGATGTAACTAAGACCCTATGTACATAATTTTATTCCACCACATGTACCACATGAATAAAGAACATTGAATCTTTGAATCCTGTAGTAGAATATTATGATCAACTGTATCAAATGCAGCACTGAGGTCTAACAGGACCAGTGTAGACACCTGTCCATTGTCAGAGGCCATGAGAATATCATTAGTAACTTTCACCAGTGCTGTTTCAGTGCTGTGGTGAGCCCTGACTGAAACTCTTCAGACTATTTCTTTGTAGATGATCACGCAACTGACCAGCAACTATTTTCTCTAGAAATTTTTTAAAATGAAACTTAGATTAGATATAGGTCTATAATTGGCTAGGATTCCTGAGTCAAGTTTATGTTTCTTAAGTAAAGGTTTAATTACAGCAATCTTAAAGCTCTGTGGTACGTAACCATTTTTTAGAGACAAATTAAGCAGATCCAAGACGTTGTTACTAAGTAAGGGAAATATGTCTTTAAATAGCCTGGTTGGGATGGGATCTAGCAGACATGTGGATGGTTTGGATGAAGCTATTATTTTGGACAATTCAGAGCTCAACAGGACAAAAACAGTTCAAACATAAATCAGGTTCTAGTGACATTTTTAAAGTTGGCTCATCTGACACAGAACCAGAGGTGATACTAGGAAGGATGGTTTGAATTTTTTTTCCCTAATTGAAACAATTTTATTTATAAAGAATCTCATGAAGTCATCACTGCTTATAGTTGTAGGGATACATGAATCAACAGAGAGAGGATTTTACATTAGACTAGCTATGGTACTGAAAAGGAACCTGGGGTTATTTTTATTCTCATCAGTCAAAGATGAATAATATAAAGTTCTAGCTTTACAGAGTGCTTTTTTGTATGTTAGCAGGCTATCTCTCCAGGATAAGTAAGATTCCTCAACATTAGTGGAGCACCATTTTCTTTCTGGCTTTCTAGATATCTGCTTTAAAGTAAGTAACTCAGAACTGAACCAAGGAGCTAATCTCCTCTGATTGATTACTTTCTTTTTCAGTGGAGCAGCTTTATCGAATGAAGTTTGCAAAGTAGTTGTAAAATTATCAACCAGATGATCTAAGTCACTGCTCTCTGATGAATTATTCAGCAAGACAGAGGAAAACAATGAAAGATCATTTTTAAATTTGGTTACAGCGGTTTCTGATAAGCACCTGCTACGATGAAAATTACTCTCAGTGACTGTGTGGTCATTTAATGTAAACTCAAAAGGTTATTAAAAAAAATTATCAGACAGAACAAGATTTTGAGGAAGTATTACTAAGTCCTTAATCTCTATACCATAGGTCAGAACCAGGTCAAGAGTGTGATGATGAGAATGAGTAGAGGACCGGATGTTTTGGTGTAAAACCAATTGACTCTATTAAGTTTTTAAAGGCTATGCTTGAGCTATCACTTTCAACATCTACATGAATATTGAAATCACCCATTATTATGACTTTATCAGTATTTAGTAATAAGTCAGTTAAAAATTCTGAGAATTCAGACAAAAACTGAGCAAAGGCGCCTGGTGGACGATATATAACAACTAGTGAGAGTGGTCACTCCGTTTTCTATTTAGGATGGGATAGACTTAGAGATAGTAACTCAAAAGTATTATAACTATTAATTAGTTTAGTATTAATTAATAGTCCCGACTGAAAAATTGAAGCTACACCTCCACCTCGACCAGGTGTTATAGGAACATGAACATTTAAATAATTAGGTGGAGTGGATTCATTTATACTAACAAAATCTTCTTATTTTAGGGTTTCTGTCAAACAGAATAAATCAGTAAGTGGCTGCTGGATATGAGCACCAGCAACCCCAACATCCCAGAAAAGAGAAGCAGGTAAGGAAAATGGATGGATGTTGCTTCCTCTGTTAAGTTTTGTTAAGATTCTGTATATCATTGTTTTATACATTTCATAACTAATTAATTGTACAGTACACATCAGTGTACTTTATAAGCGGAAACAGCACAGTTATATATTTTTTGCATCAAGTCATCGTGGGTAAACTCCTCTCCTATTATGTATGTAAATTTTTTTATACTTTCAAGGACTGGTTTTCGACTTAGCATCCCCAGAATTTTTTTCTAAACTTGGTAGAAAAGTGTTCTTTATTCTTGTACCTTGGTCATGGAATAATCGAGACCAAACTGGAGTTGGATGCTGTTGACTTTTGAAGTACGTTTAAAGCTCTTATAAAGTCTCCTGTAACTGACAACAACTGCTGCTCTTAAACTGGACTTGGTACTTGTATTATGTTTATTCTGTTTTTTTTTTGTTGTTGTTGTTTTGTATATTTTGATGTTATTTTAAATTTTTTGCTTGGAATTTTGTAATGTGCCATCCTAACCAAGTCTCTCGTGAAAAAACTTGATGTCAAGAGACTTCATGGTTAGATAAAGTCGGACTCATCATCATATTGCATCGTTGTTAATCTACTGAAGGAAATACGAGATGACGAGCCATCTTGTGAAATAACTGCTGCATCAAAAAATGTTTAGCAGGTTTTTTATCATGATTGCTTATTTGATTTAATTAATTTGACACTATAGTCTTGTGTTAAGATAACAGTGCAGAGCAAGAATATCATGTTAACAAAACAGCCAATCTGAGTTATCTTCTCAAAGACTGGCCTTCAGCTTTTGTGTGTCAGGGACTTGATTTTATCAACCAGACATCACACTTTAAGGAGATCCCTTCATTATGCTGCTGTGGCTGGCAGTTTAATGAAGGGATCCAACATACTACAGTGTGTGCTTTTAGACAGCCAGCTGTGGTTCCTGAATAAAATTATCTGGATCAACTTCGGTTTGCCTCTGGAACCATCTCTGCCGCTGGCAAAAATGCATAAAAAATTGCCCCAGTTCTGTCCCTAAATGCATAAAGCTACCACAGTCCTGCTTAGACCAAGCTGTGCAAAAAGCTGTAGTTTCACAAGCAGTCCAGCAATCTGAGCAACTCTTAGTCTTTGTCATCAGGTTTTTTCCATGTTGGCACAATAAAGTCAGTGAATTTATAAATGGAAACCCAGTGCTGGTCAACCTCACTCAGAAGAACTCTGCTTTGCCAATTAGTGGCTCAAGTACAAATTTAAACACAAGAAGCACTGTATACTACAGATTAGCTATGTAAAAAGGAAATTATTTTAATATATTTATTAAAATATCACTTGTACAAGAAGTTCCTCTGCAGAGCCAGTATGTAAAACATTGCACTAGTGTGATAACTTATCCCCAGGGATACAAAGATGATTGGAAAGAACCCTTCTGATGACGTGGTTTGAAACCCTGGAATATGTTATGGTTGTGAGAATTGCTTTGAGAGACACATGTACAACAAGCACAACATGTTAAGAACAGTTGCTGAACTCGACACAAAAAATGTCTTCTATGCTTTTCACGGGGAAGGATGAACTTTTGAGAAGTATGGACGAAGTATAAAATATTTAACAGTTAATTCAGAGTTGGGATGACTCATGATTGCTTCAAGTGCTGAGAGCATCTGCAAATAAGAAGCTTAAGATAAGAGAGCAGCTCTCACTCAACGTCCACATTGTACAGATAAAGCAATCAAAGATGCAAACAAAGGCTAAAACTTCACACCATTCTGTCAAAACATTGTTTTTGCATCACATGAACATAAAAAGGAAAGGGATACCATCTTCTTAACAGCAAAATGTGAAACAAAATTAAGCTGCTGTTGTGAAACTCCTCCACAACACCTTCCTCTATACGACTATGGAATAAAGCGAAAACACATACGAGTGTATAAAGTCCGGATGGTGGATTACTCACAGCATCGTGACAGGAAGTGTAGACAATGTGAACCTGCTTGAGATCCCTGTCCAGGAAGTGTCGGCGTATGGCGAGGATATTGCAGCCGCAGCAGTTGTCCTCCTCCACCGTCACGGACTGAGACAACCGAGAACCGGACACCGAGGTGCAGCTGGGAGAAGGACAGAGAGGACAACAGGAAAAGAAAGGATCCATGTTAGACTATTTCAATGAGATAGACACAACAGAAAGACAGTGACAACAGGTATATACTTAGCATCTCAATGCAGGACATCTGTGTAAGAGAACTCAACAGTGTCAGTGAGTGGGTCTAGCTGGAGTGGGATCGTCTCAGTGGAATACCACTTGGCAAGAACTGCCGCATGTGAAATTTGATCAGCGCTGAAGAGGCTCGGGAGACACAGAAAGCAAATAGATAAAAATGTGCGGGGTATGTTTGTGTGCTTACGGGCAGGAGCTGGCAAGGCGGCACAGCCCGCAGCCAGGCTTCCTCATCAGGTACATAGGCCAACCGTACGCAGCCAGGGCAAAGAGCTTGTAGTAACACACATCTTTGTACATGTTCATCTCAGCCTGCAGGAAGAAGCAGACGCACACGTTGTGTCAGACTAGCAAACCGTGACACATTCACAGTTTGAAATGTAGTTTTTCAAAAACCTCACAGAGTTCTTGAGGTCCAGGTATCTGGTATTACGAGTGACAGGTATCCCCGACAAGAATGCTAAAATGTCATTATTGGCCTGTAGAAGAGACAAGTGGAACACAGAGTTGTCTGCACTTGCTTTAATACTTTATAAACTTCCTACAGAGAATACTACAGAGAGCAAGACCTGGTCCAAGATGGCAGATCTCTTAGTCCTCTGTCTCTGGCGAAGAAGTACCAGGCCAGCAATGATATCACTTGGTACAATGTCCAGGTCTCTAAAGAATTCTGCAAAAAGGCTGGCCACCTCTGAATAAGCATCCTGGATGTGAAAGAAGAAATAAACCTTCAGAAAACACACGTCGTGCGACTCGGACAGTTTCATTATTGCAAGCAGAAAAAATAAAGATGTCAGAACTGAACAGCAATTAATCATTTTATCTTGCCTTGCAACATTTTTTACAAATATAAATAAATAAATAAATAAATAAAAGCGTCCAGGAGTGTTGCTCTTGCAGAAAGAACTGGAACATGTCTGAACTGCCTCGTTTAAAGATACTCACTGTAAAGTTACAAAGACTTTACGAAAAATAATTACAATACAAGAAACAAAATTTGCACAATATTTCTCTCATTTCTTCTTCTTATTATTTTAATTTCTCTCATACGAGGGGCTAATGTGCCCTGAAGTTAAACATCTGGAAGCAAACTTCAACTGTTGTTTATGGTAACAGCTGAAGTGACTGAAAATGTGTCGGACATTAAACTTCTCGACCAGATTGGTCAAACCTTCACGGACCATGAGCAGCTCAACCACGCGCCTCGAGCGTCCTCGAGCTTTTTGTTTGATTCAACAGAGTGTTTCGTTTACATGGAGTGCAGACCAGCAGTTCACCATTCTTTTTAATCATCTAAAAAACTCTTTGAGTAAACTCTTTCAAACTGCATCATTCCATGTAATTCAGGATAAACTTGTTATTCTTGATTTCATGAGTACTTTGAACTTGGAGTTTCCCTGAGAACTTCACTTGTTGATCACATATCGTGTACCTTTACTTAATAATGCAAGGTATTAATATTCAAGAGGAAATGTAAATTATACCTTCATGTATTCTAAAAAAATCTTTAGTATAGTTTTAGAATATTGTTAGAGTCAAACAGAGCAGCTAAAAACATCAGTAGCTACAACAAGTACATAAATCATAAATACGTTTAAACATTGCATGAATCCAACAGCAACGTTTATAAAGTTGTAGATATTTTTGTTCTTCTTCCGGCTGCTCCTTCTTCAGCGAACTAAGTTGCACGAAGACTTTGTGATTATTTTTACGCCGGCTGTCCTTCCTGACCAACCACAGACACCGAGCTACCACAGCCTCGGAGGAGCAGAGAGCTGCATCTAGGACACCCCGGAGGAGCAGGTGGGGGGTTAAGGGCCTTGCTCAAGGGCCCAGGGTGGGACGAATGAGGGTGGAGGCAGGTGTGGGTGCTTCACCTTTAACACCCACATTTTTTTGATGTCGTCGGTACCGGGAGTTGAACCAGCGATCTTCCGATCACAGGCCCACCTTCCCTAACCTCTGCACCACCACTCCCACACCACTTTATTTATAACAATAATGTTGTAGACATGATTTAACTTATTTTGTGATTGCAAACTAAACAGTAATTATGCAATGTGCTTATTAAAGCATCAGAACACGGTAATAAGAACGATGTTTTACTGAACTGCACTTTATTCACTGATAAACTGCAACATCCTGTTAATCCATCACACTCCCAAATAATCCAGTCAGAGCAGCCTTTGGTCCATTCAAGCTCGAGGTCCGCTCCAAGCAGCTGCAACGCTCAAACATTCGGTCAGTTCTTCAGCGATTCACTGGATGGACGGACTGGTGGTCTCATTGATCACACGTATGAAATGGGTTTAATCGATGTGTGACTCACAGATTGTGTGTCCTGGGCTCTTGTGCAGCACATAAAAAACTTGAGTCTTCTGCTCCAGCTGCTGGCCTGCCCTTCTTCTAGTCTGTGTCTGATGGCAAGAAAAAGGCAAAGAACTGAAGTTGTGTGGAAAACAAACAAAAAAACATGTGAGAGGTTTGAGTCGCAACAAAAGCCACGGAGAATAAAGAACTTGTTAGTACCTAAGAGTGTACGTAGTAAGGTTACGCTGACGCCGACGGGTTGCTTTCAGTTTGACAAAAGTCCGACCCGTAGGATCAAAAGTGCACATGAGGGTGATGCAAACGCTCAGTATCACAAGCCAGTTGCATGCAACAATTCCTGAAAAGAACGTCAAAACAGTCATTCAAACATGAATCATTTATTTAAAACGGTTTCCCTTTTCATAGTTTTACTCACCCAAAGCCAAGTTTTTGGCTGTGACGTCAGAGCACGGCTGGTAATACTGGACAAGCCAAGCAATTCCTACTACAGCGTATACAAGCTCAACCAGTAAGATAGCTGGAAAGAGTGGGAGTAGGTGAAGAACATAAAGATCAATATGAGTTCGACATGTTTATGTCCAACCAGCATGAAAACCCTGATGGTCACTGAAGACCCGTGCCGTCTCACCAAGTCGTATATAGATCACATACTGCACAGCTTCCCTGGGCTGCGTGTACAGAATGCTGCCCCTCATGCTCAGCCACATGATGGCACTCTCACATATAAGGCAGCTAACTAGGATGCCCAAATACCCTCGGCCATGGTCCACCAGCGTGACGGAACAGGACAGGTCTGAGCCGTACCGGAGGCCACAGAGAACCACGGACAGAACCACCAACCTGAAGATGGAAGACAAAAACGACAAAGCCGGAAGAAATTCATCTTTCTGCAGAGATTTATGTTAAACATACACAAATGAGACCCAACATTACGAACAGGCTTCTTTAGGTTAGTGATGTTGCTACGCAGAGATTTAGAAACATTTAGGAAGGAGGAAAAGGTGAAATTACAAGTTTGATTGCCCGGATGTAAATTTTAAGAGCAGAACGTTGATTTACTTTAAAAGAAGGAGCTCACAAATAACTTGAGTCTACACTTTGGTGACAGTGAAGTTCCTGAGGTTAAACCTACACATGCTCCTCTGATCTGGCAACAAGAGTAGAATGTGTGACGTGGGGCTGAAGTGACGAGCACACCCATCTAAAAAATGACAATGTCTCTGTGACTTCATAACGCAGGCTCATCTGTGAAGTACTAAAAGGGAACAGAACGGCTTTACAAAGGGTCATAATGTTATGGCTGATCAGTGTAAAATAATTAAAAGAGAGTACGTCTGAAGAAACGCTGACTCACCAGACACAGTGTATTAAAAAAAGGAAGAGGGCGGGCAGCACCAGGTCATCACTGCCAACGGACCAGCGCCGCCGAAACATCACCATCCCCGGCATCACTGCCCTGTGGGAAAACAGACGCATGACATCACCGCTTCTCTGTCCCAACACTCACAAGGTCCTGTTCCATCACAGGCATTCATTTCCCAAATAATAAACCTCACATCCAACACACTGAATGAAACCACTTCCTTTAATGTAAAAGACTTTTCAAAGATTTAAATCGTCCAAGGACAGAAAAGAGAGACAACACAGTTAAACTGGCAGAGCATAAAAACTTAACAGCACCATGTTGGATCAGTTTCTGCATCTGTTTTGGGGTTTCTGATCCCAGGCTGTGCAGAAATATATAAAGACCTTCACTGAGGACAAGGGTGAAAAACAAGACGAGTCCTGAGATGAAAGGATGCTGAACGGTCCAACCCATAATGTAAAAAGGAGCAAACACAAGAGTAAAACAGAACACGCCGACTACAACGACGCAAGGCGATCTTTTGAAAAATAAAGATCACTGAATCTGCCTCCAGGGTGAAATAACATGAACTGTAAAAGACACAGAGGAGAAAATAGGAGCAGAGGGAGCAACAACGAGGCTTTTGGTCCCGATAGAAGTGACTTAAAACCATTATTAAACCAGCAGGTGACACCAGAACTAATGACCAGTACTTACCTTAAAACATCTTCAAGCTAAAAACAACTGCATGCATTTTATTTACCACCCAACTACAACAAGGAGTGAAATCAATCAACATTTATTTTACTGATCTCTGTCCAGCTCCCACCTTTTTTCTAGAATTGACAGAACCCTCTTTAATTTGCAATAAATCATCATTTGAGTTCGTTAGGACTCAGCAGTGAGCGTGCACAACGGCAGGACGGTTGCATCACTGCCTGCTTCATTTAGGATCTGACAAAGATTTGATAAACACATTTTGATAAATTGATAAAAGATTGACAAAGATCGTGTTTGAAACATATTTAAGCGTTTGCTAATTATGCAGCGACAGCTATTAAAATGGAAGCCTGAACAGAAAATGCGAAGGCATAGTCAAATATTAAACACAACTCAAGACATTTGCAAAGAGGAGCCACTGATGTGGATTTAGTTCCACCAAGTTCACAGAATCTCAGTGGGTTCCTCAAAGGATCTCATTCGGTTTCACTTTGGAATATTTTTTAAATCCTCTCCTTTTTTATGCGTCTTGTTCACAGGATTTTAGCTGCACTGACATTAAAATGATGCAGCAGATTTTTTGAAGTGTGGCTGTGTAAAATATTTACGAGTGGTCAGTATCTTACCTGCAGGGGAGCAGACATAGTAAAGTTTGCAGAATCAGGAAGGAACTAGCACGAAGGTGTGAATAAAAAAGGATCCATTCCAGAGCAGATTGTTACCATATAAAGCAAGTCAGTATTTTAATAACTGTTGAAGTAAAAGTTGAGTTTTACACCACGTCACTTTAGCATCAGACTGTTGTTCTGACGGAGATTCATGCTGAACATGATCTGGTTTTTTTGCATCATAGTGTTCCAACATGGACAGTCAATATAAATACCTGTTTGATGCACGTGTGTTGCATGTATAATAACACAACACAATCAAATGTATTAAAGATTTGATGTGTCTAATATTTGCTCTCGAATGCATCACCTTCCAAGTAGCTGTACCGCCCAATGGAAATGATCCCCTGATGAAATAAACTGACGCTGTCTTGTGCGCTGTCAGCTGCAAGTGAGACACTGACTACTCATAAGTATGTTACAGAAACTAAAACAAATTATTTTGATTTTGATTATGGGTCAAGGCTCCAATAATGTCAATGGTTATGAGAATAACACAGGACCTGATTTCCACACTGGAAATGATTAAGACACACGGGATCCAAGCTGAACACAAATCCATCAAAAATAAATAAATGAAACAGATCTGGTGAAGTGCTAAAACATGATTTGTTTAAGTTTATAAGGGAAAAACATGTACGAAATACAACATAAATAGTACTATGTTCAGTTCTGTGTAAAATGTCTGAAAGCAGAACCAATGAAAAGCTGAGCTGTGCAGTTTCTCTGTTACTGACAAACTACACTAAAATGAGGAACAAGCCCAACAAAAGTGTTTTTCTCATTTGGATTTTTCATAAAAGTTTTTAAAACCTCTCAATGCTAGAATTTTCATTTCCTCAAAGTTTACAGGCCCAACAAACACCGCTGAATGTCTGCCACTTTTCTTCTGACAGCACATTCACACAAACACCATTTATTGCCAACAGCTTCACACGTTTCGGTTGATATGAGCTAAGACAAATCACAAGAAAAACACAGAAGTAAAAACAACAAGAAAAAAAACATACTTTAAAAAAAGTTTCATCAGGAAAAATGTCATTTAAGAAGTAGCACTGGCTGAAAACAAGGCACTTCTACATGTGCAGTAATTCGTTAATTCCCTTCTCTAACGAGCAGCTAATTGAAACGACGGTCCCTGACACTGGGTCTTAACGAGTGTTAAACAAACTACTCAGCTTTAGGAGGAAGAACATTTGAAACAACAACGACAGGAATCAGGAACTGGCAGAACTAGTTCTGTGGAGGTGTGGAGGGAAACATTTTAAACAAAGCAGACATTTATGGCTGAAGGTGAGAAAAGAGTTCTGCAGCTGTCAGAAAAATGTCCATCCAGTAGCCGAGACGTCATGATGAGAACTGTTACAGCGAAAAGCTCCAATTCCAAAACCTGGTTGCAGTTCGTATGACCTGAACACCAGAAGCTTGAACGCTTGTCAAGACGCTCACAGGACAGCCGTCAAGACTGCCCTAGTGGTCGTTTTATTCAGACATTCAAGTGTTTAACCAACGGAAAGAATCCAAGGATTTTAAATATCACACTGAATAAATGTAGCAGTAAAAATACACGTTGTTTAGAAGAAAATACAGCTCAAAGTATTCTCTGTAGCAGCTAAAGGTTTCTGTTTGGCAGCGTTTCAGCTAAAGGCAGACGGTAGCCGACACCACTCAAAACACAAGGCACAAAAAAGACAAAGTAACTTTACAATCACATACAAAACAAAGAGGAAAAGAAAGAAAGTGACACTTGAACAGCTTTAAGTGGCCGAAAGTTAACTCACAACTAACTTCAAACTGTAACTTCATTAACAGGAGGAAAGACAACTCGACAACCCAACTCCTCCTAAATCTTATGTAGGCCACGACAACGAGGTCAGAGGAATCGTGACAAACTCTTTAAATGCAGAAAGGCCCACATGTAGATCACCAGAGACTTCCTGATCAGCACTGTCCTCTGGGTTGTTAGTTCAACTCCCACCGGAGGCTTGAACAGCAAAACTCTAAATAAAATCATTTGAAACTAAAAGGGAATAAAAGACAGGGGTACAAGATATTTTGTAGTGACAAACTAACCTGAGGATTATATATATATATATATATATATATATA